AGGAGCCTGGGTCTTCAGGGGAGCCAAGCGCCACTACTTCAGCTGTAGGAATGACAGCTCCTCGTAGCTCTGTCAAACAGCAGGGTCTGAGCACATACCCAGATGCGGGGTCCCGAGGGAGCGCTCCCTTCCAGGCTCAGAGTCACTTCCCAAGACGAAGCATTTGGATTTCTCCTCTCAGTTACAGCTAGCGCAGCTGCAAATATGATCAAAAATATCTAATCCTCTTAACTGCTTCTGCAGTTTGACTCCCATCGCCGCAGAGGAAAATGCCGTGATTTCAGCGCGCTGCCTGCATTCCCACGCAGCTGCCTATAAGCTTTGGCTTTTACACCATTGTTCATTACTCCCCATTGATTACTTGGAAGGAGGAGTAGGTGTTTGGCTCCTTGCGGTGAAGCTGCAGGGGTACGTTAGCAAAGGGTGGAGGCCAGGAGCTCTCGGGTCCCGGGGCTGTGCTCAGCTCTTGGTGCTCCTTCACTGAGCAGGCAGGATCCAGTTGGGATTTCTTCGCTCCAGTGAAGCTAGAGCACGTTCAAAAGCTGCCAAGGAGAATTGCTTGGAAAAAGCCGTCTTTGCTCCTCATGCAACCCCTGCAGTTGCAGAGGGAAACTCTTGGCATGGCTGTGCTTAGATGAGACCAGCCAGCTCCCCCTCCATCGGCACGGGGCCACTGGCTGCAGCAGCATCCCTGTCTCCTGTGGATATCGCCAGCTCACCCATCTCGCTTAGCTGCGCCTCCCGCTCGGCTCCTCCAGCCCTCGCAGAAGGTTTTCCAACTGGGACTCCACACAGACCATGGATTCAAGCCAACAGCACTAGGAGTTTCTCCAGCCTACGTTAATTCTGCTTGGACTAAGATTATCAGTAGTGTAGAGGAATTGTTCTGGGAGATCTGGTCACGTTTTATGTGCTAAACAGATTTACTCTGGTTTTATTTTAGGTTTACAGAGCTCAGACACGGAGACCATGAAGTTGCCTTGGAACCTCACTCACACCTGTAGTAGGGGTCTCCCCCCACCCTGGAGAGAAGGAGCCCACCAAGGTGGGTTTCCTTCACATGCTTAAACCCCTGTGTTTTACAGGGCAAGAGGATACATTTCTTCACCTAACAGCATCACACATCAATAAGACTAATAAATACCACAAAGTCACGTATAAATAGAGACGTGAGGGAAGAGGGAGACTGGGAGGCAGAGGCATGTAAACAGGTGTCAAGAACATCATCTTTGCATCCAGAAAACCAAGGTACATCCTACACTGACATTGTCCTCCAAGGCCATTGCCACCACATAAGGACACGGATAATAGGCAAGAAAAACAGCTAAGTGGCAGCCTACCTCCAGGAAAAGCCCCCCTTAAATGCATGAAGGCAGCCTGACTGCTCAGTCTGCGGCAGCCAGGTGGGTTTTGTGAATGTCTTGCAACCTCCACTGGCATTAGGCAGAGCACCTGTAGCTCCCTGCCCAGCGCAGGCTGCTGCACACCCCCAAGCACAGACACGGGGGCTTTACAGCTCAACTTAAGCACTTTTGAGAGCACTGCCACTTCAGCAGTGCACAGAAGAGAAGTGCTGCCACTGAAGTGCCACCTTCAGATGACAAAGAATGTGCAGGGCCCAGCACCAGAGACCAGCACGGCCCTAGGGATCTCGGGTTGGGAATAAGACATACGCTTAACAGGGCGCAAGCAAGCCAATAGCTCACCCTCACCCCCCTACCCTCAAGCCCACAAACCCAGATAACCTGTACAACCACAAAATCATCGCATTACTAGACCTGCACATAAGACCAAAATCTCAGTCTCCTGGTGAGCTCAGGCGTGTCTGCTCAGAGCACAGCTCCCACCAGCGAGCAGCAAAGCTCTCCGCTGCTTCCCAGCCTCGGTGCAGCTCAGGAGACCCTCCACAAAGAGCCCCCACCTACCCCAGAGCCAGCTCCAGCAAGGCAGCAACCTCCCCAGGTGCAGCAGCTTTATAGGAGCTGTTGGCCCCAAAGAAGGTTCAACAGGGACCAATTTCCTGGTGGGGAAGTAAACATTGCTCTCTCTGAGGCGTTTGATGTTTTTACCCAGTTTGGGATGGAAGGAGTTTGACTCCCCAGCTCCCTTCGAGAAGGTGGAAGGAAACCATGTGAGTGTCTTGAGGTTTGTTGTCTAACTCAATTAACCAATTACTTCCAGGTCAAGAAGGCAAAGCTATAAATGCTGCTTGCTGCTATAAATAATGTTTGCTCAAGGGTGGTGCAGGAGCAGGAAGTGTTAGGTGTGGGGTTGTAACTTGAGCTTGAAATGAAAGCAAATATCACAAATTGCTTCCTGCTTCAAGCAAACCTGTCACTATTTTGCTGTTGCCTCTCGGCAGCTAAAGTGAACCAGTGCACAGAGCTGGCTCTTGCCTTGGGAAACGTGTGCAGGAATTCAGACTGGAGAATGAATACACAAATGTCCCTCCTGTGCTGCAAAACTCCCCTCCAAACACTGCTGGCTCTCTTGGTGTAGGACCTGCTGTGGAGAGCTGGACCAGCTGGATGTGTCTGCCTTTAAAATACAGTTATTAGACCAAAATACCCATTTATGTAAAAAGGGGGGGGAAGCCTAGGAGAAATTGATGTGAATTTCTCAGAGCTCAAACAAGAACAGACAAGTTGGTTGGTGCAGATCAAGGCAGGAATTTTCCACGGGGCCTTAGGGAATCGGGCTCTGGTGAAAAGGTAAATGGAGCAGAGAGCGGGTGGTGGGACGGCAGCGTGCCCCTTTGGAGGGGCCCGGGCTGGCTGCAGCGCAGGCACCGGGAGCACAGCACGGCCATGGGGTGCTCCAGCTGCCCGGATGGACGGACAGACACGCACAGACCTTTGCCTGCGGGGTGACTCCGTGTCTGCTCTGCTAGTGGCACCACACAAGGTTTTTCTAGAGCACAAACCAGAGAGACATCACCTCACCCGGGACCTCAGCTCCTAAAAGAGCAGAACCCCTGTCAAGGAGGGGATTAATTGGTGTTAAGGGACAGGTTCTTCCCAAGAGGCAAATTAGCCCACCGAAAAACTAATGAGTCCCTGGAACCATGTGAAACAGAGCGATGTCAGCCAGGCACCTCACCCCAAACTGCGGTACCCGCGGCCGGCTGGGCTGCACGAGGAGGGGGGGCTGCTGCTGGGCTGGCGCCGAAAAGGCTCATGGAAACCCATCAGCAGAGAGACCGGGGGGTGCCAGAGCTCGGGTGGCCGCAGGTCTCACGGGCGCTGCATTCCCCTCCCACCCCAGCAGATCCTGCTCAGAGCTTGGGCACAAACCCTGTGGGTGCTGGAGGTGGCAGGTGGGAAGCCCACCTCGCCATCAAGTGGAGCCCCACCGAGCAGCCTCCTGCTAATCTGGACTTTGCCTTTTGCTTATGGGAAACATCCCTGGCGTGAAGCAGTGACAGCTGAGCCCTGGGCCCCAGCTCACCCCCAGCTGCCCTACATTTCCCTTCCAAGCAGGGGGACACGGCCCTTTCTGTCCCTGCCGTCCCTCCGGCTGCAGGCGCTGCTTCTCCCAGCCGACGAGAAGCCGTGATGACCCATTGCCCCGTCTAACTGCCTCTCCCTTCCACTCGCTCGGGAACAGCTGCCGGAGTGAATCATTTCAGCATCCTCAAAGCGTGGAGGGCTCTGCCAAGCTTCGTGCGACTTCTGGCTGTCGCTCCGCTCCATCTGCGTTTCTCCCTGGCCCTTTTAAATCCCGCAGCCTTTCCTGCGATCCCCGATGACCTCCTCTCTCAAACAGGTGGGTGCCCTCGCCACAGAGGTGCAGAGCTGACAGTGGAGGCTCCTGGGCTCCCTTGGGTGTTTTTGCCGTTACCGTCCCGCCCACGTACGCAGAATCACGAGTCGTCTTGCTGTCCTGTTCCCTCTCTGCCAGCCTGTCAATCAGGGACCTTTTGCAGAGAGGGAAGGGCAGGATCCAGTGAAGTTCACAGAAGGTGCTGACCAGTGGCAGCCCTTCCTGTGTTGCCCACAGAGCTCTGGGGAGAGCAGGTCCCCCATTTCTTGCTCCTGCTGAAACATCTCCTCTCCATTACCGCCATGTAGCCCACATGGCGATCGCCAGGGCAGGCTTTGTCCTAGAGCTCTCTTTGATACTACTCCAGGCACCCGACACAGCATCAGCAGACAGTATAACCCCTCTGCTGTTCAGCAGGAGGGAAGATTTCCTTCATGTTTTTTTTTAAAAAAAAAAAAAAAAAAAATCTATTTTAAGGATTTTAATCATAGCAGGAGCTTGGCCAATCTCAGCTGTCCAGTGCTTGGAGGAAGTTTTCTGCTGCTGCAACCTTCTGCTGTGGTCATACTGAGTCATCAGCCACAAAGCTGACCTGTTGTTTGAGTCGCAGATGTCAAAATTTGACTGCAGGCTGGAGAGGTCTGAGCGCCACCGCTTTTTCCAGGCACTCGGGCGTCCTGCTGATGGGTAAGGAAGAGTCATGGACCGGCCTTCGCTGGGACTTTTCCCTTCACCACGAGCCACGTGTGGGCTCGAGCCACATCTGCCCTGCGGCCAGACAGAGCGTGGTCCCACCGCGGGGGAAGTCTCGCAAGGGAGGGTGCCCTCAGCCTCACCCAGCAGAAGCCTGGGGGGAGCCCGGTGGATCTCCAGCAGTGAATAAGCAGCCAGATGGACACTGTAGGTTGCTTTGCCACCTGGGATGGCTTTAGGAGCAGCTGGAGGGGACCCAAGGACTGGGGGTAATCTGGTTTAACACAAAAGTATTCAACAACCCTTGCTTTTTCTGCATGAGCTGCCCACTTCTCATGAGCCAGAGATAATTACCCTGCCTTATCTGCTCATATCAGCTCAGCTGAACCGAACTTCCCCCCAACCCAAACACGACAAAGAGCTCGTTTGGACAGCTTTGCCTTTGAGTTAAAAAGTAGAAGACTTCAGAAAGAGTAAGTTGCATGTTTTGTCGTTCTCCCTGCCATCTCCTCCCTCCGCTTCCAGTTGAATACACAAACAAAAATACTGCACACTCTTTTAATTTTCAATCGCGTTTTTTGAAAATGAATTCCAAGATACAGTACAGCATCTTAGTGCTCTACACAAAGCAAGCTTTCAGCAAAAGGTCAGAGGATCTTAGATGGTGTAAAAATATATCTTAAATAAAATAGTTTCTATAGGAGAGCAAGCTGTGTTGTACATCTCTAGGTCCTTAGAATAATTTACAGAAGGCAGAGGCCTGGTTGTACAATCCACACGCTAGAAAAGAGTTAGTGTACATTCATGCTACAAAGTTAGAAAAGGTAGAAGTTCCAGATGATTGGGGCAGATGTCCAAACCCAAGCAGTGGATGCAATGAGTGCACAAACAAGCGCCCTTTATTTCAAAGTGAGGAAGTTCAACGCTTCCAGTCCATAAAGTCAGGAAGCAGATTATAACGACTCACCTTCTGAGAGTCATTCTATTTATTGTAACTCTTTCCTTCCAATTGGCCAAAAAGAACAACTTCTAGCAATAAAGGACTAGCTGTTTTATTTCTTTGTTCCAGTTTGGAGCTGGTAAGTCAGAGCTGCATTTTCAGTGTTACAGACTAAGATCAAGGCTGTTCCTGCAGTTTCAACAACAGAAAAGGATCATACTGTGGTCTGAAAAGACAACTGCGGGACTCCCCCAGCCATTTTTAATAAAGGATTAGCCTTTAAACGCTCAGATTGCTGAGCACAACACAGCTACCAGGACAGTCGCTTCTCCAGCCAGGGTAAAACTCTTCCCACCCCAGAGCATCAAGCCTGGTATATATTCTAAGTAAAAACCAACAACAACAACAAAAAACCCAAACCAAACCCAGATTTGTCCTCAAATTTCCCTTGCAGGATCTGCGTACCTTTGCGGCAAATAACACAAAAGTTTTGCCAGCCGAGATTTTGGACAGAGCCTCGTTTCAGAGCGGAACAGGCAGCGCTAGGTGACCACAGTAACTGGATACAACAGCTGCATCTAGCGGCGAGGGTCCAGTCGCAGGGCAGCGCGCTCAGCTCCACAGCACCGCGGGGCCGGCAGCTACTGCAAAGGCTGGGTACAGGCATGGAGGAAGAGAGTTTGTAAAAACACTGCGTTAGTCATTCTCCTCACCTCGTTTTGAGGATTGCAGCACTGGAGCTTATGCCAACACACCCCTAGTGCAGCTCATGGAGGGAACGCATACGCGCCCCGCGCCAGGAGGATCAGAACACTGCGGCAGCTGTTAATATGTAACGTGTACCAGTCTTCGCAAAGACGGCTCTGTTTAATTTGTAGAAATGCCTGTAAAATAGCCCCGTTAAACAGTTTCCAGAATATAAAACTTCCATGCTTTCTGCCCCAAAGGCAGCAAGCTCTGGCCTTTCAAAGGCCATCTTTAAAATGAAGAAACAGATAGTAGCAAAGTCCCTTAAAGTGTTTAATATCCTAGATTACAAGCCTTTAGGACTCGTTCAGTTTCTTACACCACTAAGATGGTTTATTTTCCACACCTCACTCCTTTTTATTTCCAAACTACAGTTCTACTCCTGCACTAGCAGATCTGTCGTGTCAGGACTACACATACTGAAAGGAGATGTATATAATCTAATTTACACTGTTTATTAAATAAAATAATTTCTTAATTGAGAATACCTTTAATCCAGGAGAAGAACTGGAGAAGCCTTACACACTGGGCCTAGCCTACTCTACAGCATCCCCTTAGAGAATGCGATGTTTAACATGTACACACCCACCCACCCCAAAACAGTACACTCTCCAAGATGAAAGTCAAATGCATGATAGGAGGGGCTTCGAAAAGGTCGGAAGGCAAAATGGTCATTAAGATCTGCCTAAAAATAGCTAAATAGTGCAGTGAAATGCTTTTAAATACCACAGACACCTCCATTGACTGGCAGCCAGTTTTATGAGCAGCTCCGAAGATAATTTCTAGCTGAGCTTTAGTGAACTGGGCGTTCCCAGCCGGAGTCCCAGGAGGTGAGCCTGGCCTACCACCAGCATGGCCAGTTTCAGGATGGGAGCAGGGCACCCTGATTTTCATTTGCCCCTCTTGCCACGGCCTCTCCTGGAAGAAGGTTTGCCCGTGCCCCCCGTGGAGGAGCTGGCAGAAGATGCCACTGCAATGTTGATTTGTCCTTCCTGAATCTCCTGTCGGGTCTCAGCTGGGAGGTGATTGATTTTCTGTTGTGTCTCTAAGTAGAACATGACATCCCGCAACTGCTCCTGGATCTCGGAGATCTGCAGGTCCTTCTGTTCGCAGGTTTCCTTTAACACTCTCTCCTCCTCCTTTAGTTTGTTCTGAAGCAAGGCTTGATTCGCTCGCAAACACTTGTTCAGTTCTTGCTCCTCCTTCAGCTCGTTGGAAAGTTTAGCCACTTTGTTATTCAGCTGAGAACACCTTACAAACAGAAGCACAAGTCAGGAAAGCAGTGCACTATACCAAGATCAAACACCACTGCATCCTTTTTATTTCCAATCCCTTAGGGCAACTGACTCCCAGCTGTCTCCAGCCCCACCAAGACCGCCTGGAACTTGGTTTTCTGGCAGAAGATGGGCGAGGGGAGGCAACACAAGAGGACTCCGAAATCCCCCCAGGATTTTCTACCCAGCTTAAGGCTTGCTAGCGCCTGCTTGTCTGTATGGCGTTACCTGCATATGGAATAGGATGTTGCGAAGCAGAATCCCTTCCTTTGTCCCTCCAACTGCATAGCCTGGGAGAATCCCCTCCCTTGCAAGTTAGGCAATTCCATCTTGTACCAAAGGCCAACAGAGGTAACAGACAGGGTGTGTGGGAGCATGGGACTGTAACCTTGAACACGCACCTGCAACTTATGGAATAGGCGCCGAAAAGGGCACAGAGATTACATGGGGTCCTTAGAGAGCTAAGGACAATCAGGGCCGCCCAGATGCTGGCTCCCGCCACGCTCCGAGCACAAGACCCTGAAGATACCACTTCACTCGGAAGCAAGATGCTCCCACAAGGATATCGGTAGCCTCGTGTTTCACAGACAGTGCTTCCCTGCTCCTAATAACTCAGTGCTTTTGCCCTGAAAGTTTGCTGGCATCATACACAGACTCCTTTCCACTCATCAGGGTGAGCTGCGTGAACTAGCTCACTAGCCTGGGTTTTCTGCTCCAACCAGGACTGCTGGAGAGGCAGCAGTGCCAGGGGCCTGGTGGGCTAGGAGGAACAGAGCACGCAGTCCCACCTAGGGAGCTGGAACACACTGATCTGCACAGTCCCCATGCTTGACATCTTTCATCTAGGCACTTCCTAAGATCTACATTTTTCTCTGTGCTGGGTGAGATGCCTCTGTTGAGCTGCCTTTCTTCTCCTCAGTTGTATCCGCCAATTGTGAAACAGGCTGGCGTCTCCTTCTGAGCAGGCAGAGGAAGGATTACTGAATGCTAAATATGCAGACCATGTAAAAAGAGCCAAGAGCCCAAAAGCTGTGTTCCACTCAACAGGCACTTTCAATTTATGAACACCTACATAAATGAGAGCTTTTTTTAAAAATAAGCTGTGTTCTCAGTATACCAGTTTAAATAGCTCAAAATTGCCCAGGAATAGCAAGATTTTTTTCTTTTTGGATGTCAGTGCGCGGAGTTTTAATGGCTGCATGGAACTAAACCTGGCAGCGGTACCCACTTCCTTTCGACAGACTGCTTTTCTTTGAGCAAGTCATTCAGCCTCTGTTCCAGACTGTCACACTTCTCAATGGTCTCTTTAAATTTGGTCTTCATGTTGTTAATCTGTAAAAACAAACACACAGGCATTTCAAAGAGATCAAAGTCCTGTGCACTTTCATTATGACATTCATTTTTCTGGAGCGGTTTCTAGACTTTGACCAATTACTATATCCAGGTAAGCAAAAGCTTTGAGTCACGAAAAGGCTTAATTCTGATGAAGACCCTCTGCGTTTAGTTTGCAGTACCCCAACGAGGAACCACGTTGCCGTGGAAGCTGCTCACACAGAGCAGCAACTCAGGCTGCAAATCTGCGCCAGGCACCCCATTCAAACAAAAGCTGCATCAGATCCTTAACTTCTTACTGACTGCAGTTAAGCATTCATTTAGCCATTCTCTCAGACTTTTTTGTATCTGTCAGCAAACTTAAATTTCCATCTTAAGGCTTTACAATGTCGGGCTTTTGCTCATTTTAAATTAAACCTCAAATAAGTATGGTCAAAGTCTGAAAATTAACATGCTACTTTGCTCAGCACTGACTCAGCAGCTTGCTGTCATAAGGCAGTGACCTACTGACACGAATATCTTGCTCATGCAAAACGCAAACAGAAACACACGTACATTGGCTTCCTCTTCCCCTCTACTTCACAACTCGAGACTGCTACTGCTGAGGAGAACCAAGCTCTCATTCTCTAGGCACTGCACAGAACACGTCAAAGCCTCTAACATAAGACTTACAGGAAATTTATAGACAGAAATACTTGTTTCCCCTATATTAGTGTCAAAAGCGTGCTTGCATGTAGCGGAGACAGGAATTTAAAGGAAAAATGCCTTCCTGGAGGAGCAATCTGGATAAATGTCAGTGTCGGCACACATGGTGCCTTCACTGATGCCAGAGTCAATGCAGAGCAGGTTTTAAGCCTTCCGGCCTTAATCACGGAGTGTTTATGCAGCTGATGGTTAATTTGGGGAAGTAGCCTGGGCACTGATAATGGAATACACTGCACAGTAGCACTGATCCAGGCAAGACTTACATGGAGCGAGGGCCGTGAATAAAATGTAAGGATCTTTAAACATGAAACCATATTTGGGGCATATATCACAGTTGTTTCACTTTGAAGTTGCTTTGTGGATCATATTTCCTGGTCGTGTGCAAGACGATTTTCGCTCTATCTTTTCCTTTTATAGGGCCCTCCATAAGATTTCTGGGACTGTTCTTTAGACCAAGGTCAATGACCACTATTTCAACAGTCATAATTTCTACATTTACGATGCTACTTAACTGCAGATACTAAATGGTTAATTAGAAGTCATGCAGAAAGTTCAGTTAAGGACTCAACCCTAAATCCTGACTCACTTGAAACCTAGTTGAAAGGATCTACGTAGAATGAAACCATTAAAATATTCTCACTGGATTTTTGCTCATGACATTTTGAAGCAGTCCTGCCTACAGAATGCTTTATAGGACGAAACTCTGAACTTTTCCCTAAGGGTGATGAGGAGAGATAGGGGATCAAGAAGAAAGGGCAAATCAATACGCATTTGGAGCAGAAAGACTGCTACCGCTTTCTGCAGCCAAGCAAATTAAAGTCATATTGTCTATGCTACACTAACCTTCCCTAGAGATACACGTCAGCGTGAGACGGATGGCATCGGCAAGCAGGGATCCTGCAGCAGCACAGACTTGTTTTCACCACTGCTGCAGTTTCCTGAGCAGTACATTTAAATCAGCCTTCAATCTAGGTGGCAATCTACCTACTTCTGCACCACTGAGCAGCAAATTGCTAGATCTGAGCATCGAGATAAGGGATAGGTCTTGGAGCCAATTTTCTCAGCTGGTAGCGAAACAGGCTACGCGAGGCCACGTCACGCAACATGCAGGCTCTATGAGAGACTGAACAGCTCCATCTCCCATTTAACTTAACAGTGTCCAGGGGGCGTGTTTCAGCAGAGTTTCACACACGCCCAGAGCAGAGCTCACCTCTTCAGCCGTATCCTTTTCTATTCGGACAATCTTGTTTTCCCAATAGATTCGCTGCGATTCCAGCTGGCTTGTTAGCAAATATGAGTACTACGAACACAGAAGATACACACAGAACAGTCAGCTTTTACGTTAAGGGTGGCTATGCTGATTAAGAAGCCCAAAGGGCTCCAATATACAAATCAATTTAATCAGATGAAATTGAGCATACAGGACATTCTGAACATACGTGCAAACTGCAGATCCAGCAGATGTGTTTCACCAACCTGATTTCAAAATCAAATCACTTGATTTTTTTTGAAGTCAAGGAAAGCCTTTAGAGCACAACAGCAAGGATCAAGTAAAAGTTCCGCCAAGCTGTACTCAGTATCACGCCACGAACTTTTGAAAGACGAGACAGATTTTTCATGGCAGTAGCAATAAATGTCTACAAGTTTTACACTCCACAGGAAAAGGAAGCATCAACCATCCCTGTCACGAGAGTCTGAGATCCCAAAGGCTGAGTTGCTGAGTTCCCCATTCACAGCCCAAAACCCAAGGCAGAAGGGTAAGTGCACATATCTAGCTTCACTGGAAGAACATCTCTGGGAAAGCATCCTCAGCTGTGTATAACTATTCACAATTATTGTTCTCCAACAAGTACGGCCCATTCCAATGTTATTTTGGCATCTGAACAAGGATATATGCCTTACATCCCATCTTTTCACTCCTGGTTCTGCAAATGAGTTATGAGAAGGTTGGAAAACATGATCATTTCTTATCTTCAGGCTAATAAGCACCAAATCAGGCATTCACTACAGAATTAAACATGCGCAAAAAGCCTTAAACACTCTCAGTAATATCAGAGCACCAGAATACACTGCTGAATTCATTCTCCCTAGAAACATGTAGATCTCATAAGCTAGATAGAGAGGCCTTACAGACTTTAAGCACCAACCTCCCAGAAAAAAGGGTTAAAAATACCTGGTTTAGCATCTAAGCCTTACTCAGAAAATTCATGGAAAAGCAACCAAATATTTATTTGAGCAAAAAGCTTACAAAGTCTGGTCTCTATGGGCTGTTCCTCCTCAGATACCCTTGTGTCTAATGCAGCTGAGATCATGCTGCGGTATATCTGCTCAGCAGAGCAGTAATTTTGAGTTCCTCTCCTTTACCCTTCTGGTTAGGATAGGAAAAGCTGGCCAACAGGTACAAAATAATCATTATCTCTTCAAGAGAAGGGAGCAGAACAGGGCTGGTATCAGATGAGCCTGTCAGCTTTCTTCGATAGCCAAGGTAAGCACACAGCTATGGATTCCTACATACTTGCTCAGTTTACAAGCTAAACTACTCGAATTGACAGTTCCATACACATCCTGGCTCCTAAGCCAAGTCACAGATCCACTAGGAAGGGTCTGGTGAGTGAGTCTGGGCATTCGGACCCATTTCTCTCTCCAATGACCTGAGTGTTTGTAGCAGCGTAACCAGCTAACCTTCAGTCTACCAGTGAGCACAGGATGAAACTGCAGCCAGCTTACACTTAGCTGCATTGGCTCTGCACAGTTCCATACACATCCTGGCTCCTAAGCCAAGTCACAGATCCACTAGGAAGGGTCTGGTGAGTGAGTCTGGGCATTCGGACCCATTTCTCTCTCCAATGACCTGAGTGTTTGTAGCAGCGTAACCAGCTAACCTTCAGTCTACCAGTGAGCACAGGATGAAACTGCAGCCAGCTTACACTTAGCTGCATTGGCTCTGCAGAGCCAAGAAGAGTTTTTGGGTTTTTTTTTAAAAAAAAAAAAAAGGCGGTAAA